GGCCGTGCATAGCTTGTAGGAGGCTTTCAGAGAGCTCCTGAGGGCTAGGGAGGGCAGAAATGAGCAAAAAATGGCAAATTTTTTGCTCGTTTTTGCCCCCACCCCCACCCCCAGGAGCACTCTACAAGCCTCCTAAAGGCTATTCATGTGACCTTTAAAAAAAATGGCCCATTTTCATGAAAAATAGGCCATTTTGGGAGGTTTTGCAGAGTGCAAAAACTTTTTTAAAAAATTTGCCTCCTCAAAACCTTGGTGCGTCTTATACTCTGAAAAATACAGTAGCTTCATTTGTTAAATTGAAATTAACAAATTTATTAATTAATTAACAATTAATTAATAATTACATTTAGTATTTATATATTTCCTAATTGGATGTAACAAATTTATATATTTGTTAAATTTATAAGTATGAATAAAATCTTGTCTGAAAGAACTAGATTTCCAGATGGGTGCCAGAACCCATGAAACCTTTCACTAATTAGAAGTGGGTTTGTGCCAGACTTACTTGCTTGATCATTGAGATTCAACCTTTGATTCACTGTTGCCAAATCTTGTATCTGCAAATACACAAATATGGCAAAAGTCAAAAGAAAAGTCAAGCATAGATACACAGTTTAGATTAAAAAAACCTACTGAACAGAGAGCACCCATAAACTTACTGAGCTACATTGACATCCTGAACCATCTGGACTGGGAACGGGGCCAAAAGGGCACGAAAGAGGAAAAGACTGTTCTTTTGCTGGGGAGGGATTGTAGAAAGGATTTTTCAGGAGGTGATTCAAGCTTCCATGTGTCCCATTGTTTGGAGCAGGTTTAACTTTCAGGAGATCTGTGAAAGAAAAAAATTGCAATTATTCCAGTGTGCATCAAAGTTTTCAAGGTTCTGACATTTGAACTGGGAAAAAAGAATTACAAAAATGTGAGCTCTGGAATCTCAAAAGAAGAAGTGTCACATAAGCGTTTGACTGTGGTACTCACAACAATTCTGGAATTAGACCAGTGATGGCTAACCTTTTTGTTGTTGGATGCCAAAAATGCAAGGGTGTGCGTGCAATAGCACGTGTGTGTGCTGGCACCCATAATGCAAAGCGCACCCCCACATGGACATGTGTGCACAACCCTCCACACTCTCCCCCCCCCCATGCGAGAAAGAGACTGATGGGGAGGATTCATAACGGCAAAGAAAAGGCAGCAGCAAGGTACCAGATTATAGATCTGGTTACAGGAAAGGAAATAATACACACAACAGCTTTGACAACCACCATGCTTCAAGGTATGGTTTGAAATGGTCTGCATATGCATAAGGTATGGAAATTTATTCCTACCCAAGGTTGACTTCTTAAACTGGACAGACACATTCCATCAAGAACTCTTTATATTAAAAACCTGATCCTTTTCATTACATATGAGGTAGGCTCAAGAAAGTGGTAGTAATCCATCCTGATTTCCAAACATAGAAGATGGAATTGTGAATTATAACTTTTGAAAAATGTATTTTGTTGTTTGTGATTCAGCAATGTAGCTACCTTATTACACTTAATACATAATAAACTCATACACCTATACAAATATACACATGCACACCCACCCACCCACACAATATTGTGTGTGAGTGTGTGTGTAATATACATTATATTATTTATGGTAGTGTGTTTTCTATAAACTATGTTTCTTCTTTCAGTTAATTAATTCTATTTTGAATTTTTAAAAAAAATATCAGTTATACATTAGATAAGGTCTACTTGAAACTCACCACACATTAAGTTATAAACTTCAATGTTTTCAAAAGACTCCACTTCCGTTTTTTCCTTAAAGCCTGGCCCATATGCTAAAAAGATAGCCTGAACAACAACAGAAAATAGATTTACTAAATAGCTTCCAGTTTTTGTTTTCCATAAATAAAGTCAATGTTAATGTAGTTTTTTTTTAATTCAAGATATAAATACTGTTAATTTTGGATAGTTGGCTTGTGAATTTAAAGCTTTCAACTAGTAAAAAAAATTCAATTAATTCCTACTCCTTTACTATAGAGGATACTCAACACAATTCACAATTTGCTTGTGCATCTACACAGGACACTGTGATCTGTATTGTAAACCTTGCAATAGTTACATTGCCTTAGCATTAAGCCTTTGCTTGGGACATGAGAAATGCTTCAGCTGTTTTTCTGCTGAATGTTTCAATAGCGTTAATGGGATTACATTCAATAGAAATACTGTCTTAAGAACAAGGAAATCACCTCTATTCAATCTGAGGCATCGGCATGTGGCAAAAGCAGGCAAGTTCAGAGAACCCACTGCTGATATCTATTTCCATTACTGTCTAGATATTTTCTTATCTTACCCTCAACTTAGACATATACATATACATGTTGGCTGCTACGGCTGTAAACTACCACATTCAAGATGATGAGCTGTTAGTGTGGAAAACAAAGTTCTCAAGAATATGTGGACCTTCATGGAGAACTGTAATCATATCTGATTCAGTTGGTAAAAGTCTCATTCACACACTTTAATTTCCCCTTAATTTACTCTTCCAATCACCCTGAATAACTGTTTCTGGGAACTAGGCAATCCTTTAGAACAAAACCAATGTGACATAGAAATAAAAACAAAAGAGAAACAGATCTCTTACCTCCATACTTTTAAATTCATTGTCGTAGCCATGGGTACCACCATTACAACGATTATAAGTTTTATACCTAAATACACATATGCATAGAATGAATATATAGCAGTCAATTAGAAATACTACGTTTTCCAATTTAGAGTTGTGTCAAAAAAAGGCACTTTTTTTCAATCAATGCAATGAAAATGTTTTCTTCACCAATGATTGGCTGTTGTCATTGCTTCAAAGCAGTTGTTACTATTTATGAACTATCTCTTCAGTAATATCCCATGGATGGGATTTATCTGATCTCGGTAAATAAAATTGTCTCTAGAGCACTGTGGTATCATACATTTACTGCAAGATGCCTGGTTGGTTAGGATTCTTTCAAGCACACACACAAAAATTAGTGGTGTTAATGCATCAGCTGATGGAGAAACAAATGGAATAATTTTGCTAGACTAAAAAGGTAAAAGGCAAAGGTTCCCCTCGCAATATGTGCTAGTCATTCCTGACTCTAGGGGTGGTCCTCATTTCCGTTTCAAAGCCAAAGAGCCAGAGCTGTCCAAAGACGTCCCTGTGGCCATGTGGCCGGCACGACTAAATGCCAAAGGCACACAGAATGCTGTTACCTTCCCACCAAAGGTGGTTCCTATTTTTCTACTTGCATTTTTAAATGCTTTCAAACTGCTAGGTTGGCAGAAGCTGGGCAAGTAACAAGAGCTCACTCTGTTACACGGTGCTAGGGATTCGAACCGCAGAACTGCCAACCTTTCTGATCGACAAGCTCAGCGTCTTAGCCACTGAGCCACTGTGTCCCTTTTTCTAAAATAGTTCACTTCATATCATGCTTCTTTACACTTACACCCCTGTGCTGCCCAGGTACACAGATATTGGTATGTAACATATATACATGCCATTCCTTGAGAAAATAATTAGCCTTATACCAGGGTGCATCTAAGAAACATGTTTAACAGATAAAGGATAAAAAGAGGCCAAAAGCTCTTAACTCTCATCTGTTGTCTCCAGTTAAAATATTTTAGATATGAGTCTTTTCCTCTGTGGTGCTGAGGAGATTTGTCCTCATATTTTGACTAACTTCATTTCCCTGAAAATATAGCTTACTCATTGAGCAATTTCTATTTCAACACCCTAAACATCTTTCTTGGATTACAATCTGGAAAATAAAGGAACTTTCAGATAATACTTTAATGTTCTGCGCCCCCACCCCCAATTCCAGACACCGTTGATCATTTATTAATGTCATTTTAAGGCTGAGTAATGAGCAGATTTTCAACTTGGTAATTTTATTTTTGAAAGGCTTTAAAAAGGGCTGGTCTTTTCTGTGGTTCCAAAATGAAGCTTCCGAACTGCCCTGACAGTTCATTGACAAAATGTGACATGTGCCCAAATATGTTAAGGAAGTCTGTGCACAAAAAGAGTCAGTCTTAATCACTTTCTTGCCCAGTTCAATCGTAATTAGGATGGCTTTGGAGAGAGATCCCAAAAGTGCTTTTCTTTTCAAGAGGCAGCTGGACTTTCTGGTTTTTCTTGGAAGTTGTTTCAATTCTCATCCAAGAAACTTCTTCAGCTCTAGCCGAAGAAGAAAGCACCTTTGGGATAACCGTGTCCTGGATGACTGAGAATCTCCATCGATATTTAGAGAGGAATGTTTCTCTAGTGTGAATAGTAAGAGAGAAGAAGGACTATCTCCCCCACCCTAGGTCACCTTTTCCTAGGTCACATATTCTTTGCACTAATTCTGATTACTGATGGAAAATTAAGTCTCAGAGTTTTTGTGATTGATTGTAAGTCTGAATCAGTGGTTCGGCTGAACTGTTAATGGTTTGGCAACCTGGGTCGCTGGAATCGGCAGTGACCCAGGTCTGCCATGCCCCTGAACCGGTTTTCCAGGTGGCACCATAGGCGCTCTCATCTTGTTTTTTGGTTCTCTGCATGAGCACAACAATTTTAATCGCACAGTACATGCACACGCACGAGCAAACTGGCAGTAATGCCTGCTGGAACACACCTCTGGCCTGAATGTGGTGTCTAATTTCTTGATCCTACACATAAATTCCAATATGGAGCTCTTAATCTGGTCTTCCAACTCCAAACAGTTTTCTACCTCTTTTTTTGGAGACATTCTATAAGCAAACAATATAGGATAGGAACGTTTCTGTCTAACTACCATATTTTTTCGGAGTATAAGATGCACCGGAGTATAAGACCCACCAAGGTTTTGAAGAGGGATTTTTTTTTAAAAAAGTAGGTAGGTAGATAGAGAGATAGACAGGGAGAGAAAGAGAGAGAAATACAGTAGGTAGGTAGGGAGAGAGTAGTTAGGTAGTGTTGTGGCCCAGCAGGAGCTGTTGGAGCTGCCACCGACTCTGAGCAGGGTGCAGAGAGACTGGTTGGCCACCAGGTGGCGCCTGAGCCTTGGACCAGTGTGGAGGAGACAAGAGAGATTGATCCAGAAACCAGC